TTGATGCGCATACACCCAGGTGCACACCCTAAAACTTGATGCGCATACACCCAGGTGCACACCCTAAAACTTGATGTGCATACACCCAGGTGCACACCCTAAATCTTTGCCCCATCGACTGTCTTGCTCGTGCTGCACAAAGCAGTGGGATGATGATGTTCAAAATTCATCTGTGGCTTTTGAAGGGATGTTCACAGGGTGCATTACTGAAATCTGTGTACCTCACACATTGTGCTTCAATCACCATACGTTGATACATTGAGTGAGCAGGTCTTGAATACCGAATACTGAAATTTCAATTTTCAGTGCTGTTTTTCAAGTACTGGTGCCTGTTCTAGCCTACCAAGTATGTAGTCACCTGTGAGAAAATACATTTTCTCAATTTGGTGTACGTCACTGAAGTGATGTTGTCTTCCCACCCTTCTCAGGAAGCCCTGGGCTTTGAGGAGTCCCTTCGCACCAAACTGGGCTGCACCCCCCTGCCCAAAGTGCAGCTGCCCAAGACCCGAGTCGTCCGGCTGCCCCGCGGAGTTCACGTGTGCAAGGTCAAAGGTTTCAACGAGGAGGATGCCAATTCGGTGGTGACCAACTACTACCAGTCTGGTCCCGGAACGATCAGACAGCTTAGCATCATCGATGTGCTAGTGGTAAGAATCCCAGAGGGAAATCATCTTTATTGGTCTCTGCATCGGTCAGACCATCTTGTTGTCTATTTCAATGCATTGATCATCTACAGATAATCATCCAAACAGGCATATTCCTGATTGGGCTGGCCTCAAACAATAGGATTCAGATTTGCAAGTGTAATCTTTCTTACGTGTACAGACAATGATGGAAGAACCGTGCTTTGACGTTTTGAGGACCCAAGAGCAACTAGGGTAAGTCTACATGTTTTTTGTTACCGTCAATTTCCATTGTAATGCAAAGGTTCTTTGGTGAGGTCGCGTCATAGTTCATTCTTTACCTGTTTTCAACAGCTACAGCGTGTATCCAACATGTCGCAACAGTTTTGGCATCGTTGGGTTCTCAGTAACCGTGGCAACACAAGCTACTAAATTCAGGTGAGCACAGAATTTCAAGAAATCGATTCCCCGGCAAGAACGAAACCCCTCTCTAGTTATTTCCACAGGGTCTAAGGTTGTGTTGAAATTGCGTCCAGTCAGTCCAGTGTTTGCTTTTCTCGCAGTGTCTCTCACGTTGAAGAGCGCATCGACCTGTTCCTTGAGAGCTTCCTGGATAAGATGGCCACCCCTGATGTCGAGAATAACTTCAAGACTCATGTGGAGTCCCTGATCACCTTGAAGCAGTGCGCCGATAACCACCTGGGGGAGGAGGTTGACCGTAACTGGTGGGAGGTCCTCAACCACACCTACCTCTTCGATCGACTCAAACGAGAGGTGGGAAAACTCAACCTATTTGGACTTTTCTAATCTAAAGGCATCGCTAAGATCATCTGCAGTTGATTTGTTGTAGATAATTAGACGACACCGAAAATTGGCACAGGAGTTTGACGGAATTTCAGTTTTTGCATTTCACAGAAAAATGACAGAATTTCAGCCAAATGAACACTGTCGTCCTTTTCAAGCAAATGGAAAATTATTGTGTCCTTCATACATATGTGATGTATTGAACTTGACATGCAGGCAAAGCCCCGAAATGTTCTTGTCTGGTGTTTTTCCCCTAACCCCTCCTTGAAATTCCCCTCAGTCAAAAAAGTGGGTCCCCCAGTAAAAATCCTGGTGATACCCATTTGTCAACTTAACTCGATGGATTTGTCAGGCTTTTTTAAAATCCAACAGAGCAGTGTGTGACATTGAAATTTTTTTCTGGGTGATGGACATGTTTAATTCTTCATAATTCTGAGGTTTTGCCAATAGAAGTCGTTTCTGTGCCGTCCTTGCCAGATTGAAGCACTACATAGCATCTCGCTACAGGAGGCACGGGAGTTTCTCACAGAGCACATCAGGGGAGGGACTCACTTCCAGAAACTCAGTACTCAGGTGAGTTGATCTCAACCCACAACAGATTCAGAGTCTGTCAGCAGAAACCATTCCTCGTGTTACGTTACTCCCACATCACCGCCGCTGACTTGTGACGTTACATCCACTGGTCCTGCATGAAGTCTGCTAGTTCACGGAATTATTTTTACTTTGTTGCTATATCTTTTTGTGAGAAATTAATTTTATCCAGAAAGATGGCTGCCTGAGCTTTTCTCTTCATATTTTTTCAGCAGTATGCTACACCTGCCCCAGGGCCGTGCTGTTTGCTTATTATGTGTCATTACTTGTGACTACAAAATAGACTATTCCACAGTGAAAAGCAAAGATCGCATAGTGCCGCGTAGGGGCGCAAGATGGAGAACTTCACCTCGAATACACGTAAAATGTAATCGCGTGGGCGCCATATGAGCAAGCAATACGCCTGCGCAATGCACATTACTGCTTAGGTGTAGGCGCCGCGGCAGGCACGTGCACCTGGTGAGCCTGCGCCCAAGCATTACCATAAACTGCGCAGGCATATCGCTTGCTCAAATGGCACCCATGGTAATTACACCTTTTGGGCAGAGTTATCCATCTTGCGCCTTCGGCATTATACGATCTTTGGTGAAAAGAACCATGCACATGGCAAATGCTAAAAAAAAGTGGTTTGAACTATTGACTTGGTTTTCCATCAAGGTCGTTGGGGTGGGGAAAGAAGAGGAGCACAATCAGAGCGTCATGGCAACGGATACCGTGACGACAGTCGATGGTGTCGACAATGGGGCCGAAGAGACAAACACCAGAACAGGTCTGGTGTTCCTGCCCCTCGACGAGGCAGATGGAAGGAGAGCTGTAGATGCAATAGAAGCCTTCAAAGCTGGCCTGGCCGTCTATCCAATCACAAAGATAGATCATTGACAGAGACGGGTATTTGACGGAGACGGGTATGTAGACCACTTGGCTTCATCTTAATCTTAATTTAAATGCTGAAAGTTTTCTAAAATATGTTAGGACTTAAGATTAGAGCATTGTCTAATGAATTTTGTGGCAAATGTGTATGCTATTGCTAACCTCTGCATTTTGAAGATGAAAGGTTAAATATTTTTTTATGAATTATTGGTATTAAACACAGGTGCTTGATAAAGTTTGGCCAGTTTCCAAATAGTTATGACATCAGTCACGCCATAAAATGACATAGATGGCATTTTTCAAGTTTAACCCTTCATAAAATGAGGAAGTGTACACAAGACTGTTGGGGCAAGATATGTTAGTTCATAGTGTGATAGGTATACACAATATGTCACTTGCGACCAGTGATTGCCGACGAAATCACCTTTGTGGAATACAGCAAAGATTCTTGACTTCATCAAGAATTAAGTGCACACCCTTTCTCCTCTATATAGCGAAATAGACAGAACGAACTCAGAAATGTCCATCTCAAAATCTTTCTATATTCAGTTCAGGGCTTTATTCCACACACACAGTCACCACCATGCAGGAGTATTTTATATTTTTTTTAACAAAAACCAAGAAAATGAAACAGAAAACAATAATTTGAAATTGAAATGAAGGGAGTCTAGAGGTAAACCTATCGACTCTGCACAATTTTTAAAAATTCCATTCCACAGTAATTTATAACATTTCAATCTTTGTAATTTAGATTTCGCTTTTTTGTCAGTATTTATTAAAACAGTTTTCCCAGAGGCAACGGTTATACAATACTGAAAACAGTTTTGGTGAGGGCAACCTCTATACATAAATATGGTCGCCATAAAAGCAAAATTCCATTGTTCACATTTCATACAACTTTCATCTGTCTGTTTTTAGGTGTAGGTGCAATAATGGATAACTTATTGACAGCCAAGATAAACATGTGCATAGGAGAATATGTATCAGGTTTAAAAAAAAAAATCCACTCAGAAGAGTGAAAACTTACGAATGAGACAGTTGTCTTCTCATCTTTTTTCCACATTATCCTTTGGAGTTTATTGGGAGGACACGAGAAATATGTTTTATTTGCCTCAAATAATAAAATTCACACAATTCTAAGCTACACAAGGGAGTAATCCTAGCTGAACTTCATTCTGAAGTGAGAATGTTTTCCTGAGTGCGGTATGAAAGTTGTGTTTAATGCACTCAATTGTCAGGGAAGTTGCATAATTAGAATAAAAATCCAAACAAGAAGCAACAATTCCATTCTCAGTTCACAAATAAAATGCGAGTCATTTACAAGCGTTTTAAAAACCAGGCAGAAACACACCATGGTATTTCTATTCCGTGCTGTGCAAGTGTCTTCAAATGCTAAAATAATTTTTATCCGATAAAATTGCAAGTTTTTAAAGAGCTCGTTTGTCGAATGAGGGTCACTTTTTTAAAAATGAAACGGTCGCCGTATTTTACTTCAGTCAGCACAATCTTTGTAATTTGTGTTGACCTGTTTTGAGGGGTGAGTTTTTTTTCCCAAGAGGGACATCAGACATGCACCTGTTTCAAAGAAATAAACCATCCATGCATAACAGGTATTAGAAAGAAAACTGACAAAAGAGTGATTCAATTGTAACTTGTTTTGTGAAGGGGCACTCAAAGACATCAGTAAAAGCAGCTTTTATATTTTCTGTCATTTAAATGCATTTTCAAAAAAAAAATTGCCACGCTCTCAGCAAGACTTTTTAACAAGACTGCCCTTCATGGCCTGTGTCTGTCAAGCAGATTAAGAGAACTGTATTACTGGGGTAACTGTAGAAGAAATTGGAGATTTGTCATGTCAAAGTTCGCATGTCTCATGCTAATTTCAAGTAACTCAATAAGAAAAGCAAAGCATTAGAAGGAAGTATCTTTATACTGTTCACCCAAAAGTCAGAGCTGTATACAGAGAGTAGCGTGAACTTCAGACTTTGGACCCAAAATGGCTGTTCGTTATGCGTGCAGTACAGCATGCAGCTATTGTGTGCTAATTGTCCATGTGCACTGATGTACATTCCACCATTTTGTTTCCAAAAGTTGAGACGCTCATGTCACTGCTCTCTCTATAAACAGCTCTGAACAGTGATACCAGGGTGACCTAAGTTGGCCACTCTAAATCAACTAGTGCCCGATTCTTAGCCTATGCTACATTGGAATTACATCTACTTGGCTGTGGCTAGATTTAATGCTCAAATCTGTTGAAGCCACTGGCTGTAACCATCTCCCAGAGATGATGGGTTTTGCCTGCAAAAGCCACGTAATTCAGACACAGTCTAACACAGGAAACAGAAAATAACCGTCGGTGCGTTCTTTGTGTGGAAACGTTGCCAACATTTGCGACCACTTTGTGCATGTCCAATGGGCAAATTGGTCGCAAATGTTGGTCAACAGTAACACTGTTCCCACAAGTGGACCACACACAAACAGTCTGCTGCTTCATCATCAACAGTTGCTGAAATTCTTAAACCCGAAGATATGCAGCATAACATCACATGGCTGGCTTGCTTTTAGAGTGGTGAATAAACCAGGCATGGCACATTTAAAAAATTGGTAGATGTGGTGTCTGATTTTATGAACCAAGTCATCATACATAATATTACTATTATAATTTATTCACATACCGGCATTTCTTTTTAAAAAAATGCAGATTTTAAAACTGTTTAAAAAGCTTTCAGACAGAAAGCTCTCAGGACACATTTGCATGCGCTTCCCTGCAAAACATTTTTCAACATTCCTCCTTTAATTTTAAGTTCAAATACTCGTAAAAGTCCATAAGCTTCACCAGCTTGGGAGTAGAGGCTTTGCGTGGTAGCCATCTTGCAAGGTAGTTCTTTTATTCCACAGGGGAAAACTCCTCTGTGCATACCCTGTGGAACAAAAGCACTGGCCCGCAAGATGGCAGCCATGCAAACCCTCAGTAGGGTTTGGGATGAGGAAAGGGATAAATCAAGGGGCCGGGAACTTGAGACACCGTTCTGTGCTCAGTACCAGAGGAGACCCGTTTAACAGAGACTTCTAATTGATGCCTTCTTTGGCCATGTCTTCAGCTGGCTCCGATGGGGAAGTTTGTTGTTGCCTTTGTATTGCTCGTTACCTAGCACTGCGGCGCTTTTTCCAACTGCAATGATTAATACATTCGCCAAGTACATCAATACCTCGGTATCGGAACTTTGTATAGGGGATGCGAGAAATCACTCTCCAGCTAGCCTATAATGCAATGAGTTTGGGTGCTATCAGGCAAGTGGATTGATTAATTGGGCGGTTATCATTAACATTTCAATAGTGGTAAGCTTTTTGTCACTCCTAAGGAATTCTGGCATCCAAGTTTCAGCGTTCTACATGGGCTGACAGGCAGCAGCGGGGTCTTGCTCAGGGACAGGGTTACCGTGGATGGAGCATGAACGATTTATACCACAAACAACCTGAAGTATCTTGAAAAGCTAAGAACGTCCTTAACAAGCTCACCCTTGTCATCTTGGGAAAAATGAAGAATCCATTTGGAATACTTTTCAAGTAAATTTGGACTCTTAGAAAAAAAGGAGTAAAAAGGACAAACAGAGAGAAAAAACCTGCGGAGAGGAGCCTGCTTCATTCATACGATTCCATCGGCGGGGCTGAGGTCACCAGATTCTGGTCTCCGTAAACGTCATCGATACGACCGACGGATGGCCAAAACTTGGTCTCTGGTTTGACAAAGGGCTGACAAAATAAGAAAGAAAAAAAAAGTGCCGGTTAATTTGCCTGTTGGGAGAGGAGGGTGGACTGTGGGTGTTGTCAAGAAGGGGTTGGAGCTCTTTTGGGGTTGGGGAAGCGGCAAGGCATTCATCTGCAGCAAATTGGTGGAAAGAGTCAATTAAGGGGTAGTTTCAAGCAAATCAACGAGTTTCACCTCCTCTACCTTCCTATTTCACTTCTTCTCTTTTTGGATTCTTTGTTTTTTTTTCCATCAGGGGCCAATTTCATAGAGCTGCTTCGGCACAAAATCTGCTTCAGCGCAAAAAAAATTGCTTTAAAAAACAAAGGTTACCACCTCAAAATCTATCTGATTGTCATGCTAACCAAACGACAGATGAATACCATTCCAAAACAATATACATCACATGGGAGTTTTGGCTGGTAACCTGATTTGTCAAGCAAGGTTTTGTCATGCTCAAGTAAATTTTGTGCTTAAGCAGCTCTATGAAATTGGCCCCTGTTTGTCTCATATCCTCAGTTTTTCCTGCAGGAAACCTTTGCAGCCAATGACAGAGCTCAAGAGAAAGCCCTAAAACAGAGATGAAACGGGGGTAGGGAAAGTCTCTCTTTGTGACTCGGTGGTCCGTCCTCATTCTCACCATGGGAAATGCAGCTTGCTCTCTGGTGTAGGGCCAGGGCCAGTGATTGGCCATCACAATGCTCTGGGAATGAGGGGCATTCTTGAGGGGACTCTGTTCCAGAGATATCCTGCCGTCGATGATCTCGTCGATCTCCTCGCGGATATCTGTAGGGAAAATGGCGGCATTATTACACCCAAAGGATTCATTTTTTTTTTCATTTGCATTAGGAAATAGACTGTAGGGATGGTTGGAAAAAGATCTGTACATAGATTTTAGGAAACATGTCAAGCACCATACTTTTCAACACACTCAGTTGTCTCAGAAGTCAGGCCATGTCCAAAGCAACAGACTGGGGCTGAAAGTAACACACGTCTCTGTGGAAAGCAGCCATAGCTACTAGCCCATATGAGAGTTTCAACCAGCCCAAATCGTTCCTCGCCACAGTTGCAACTTATGGATGCATCAAGACCTCACAAACCATTTAAGTCTGGTGCCCCATATCCAAATGAATATCTAAACCATTATCGCTTGGGCCGGTGAAAAGCATCCACGGATTTCTCATTATGTTTTCAGAGAACCCGAGCTCAAACTTTGAAAGATGTCAGGTGTTTTACAATCCTGCATTTGATTGAGTGAGCAAATCAGTGAAACGAACATGAATTGTAAGTGCCTTTTGAGGGTTACTTTCCCATCTTATCGGGGGGGATTCCCCAATAAAAACTGTCCAATGAGAGAATTTTTGAAAGACATGCATTGCATCTATATCTAAAACGTCATCTGCAGTGTTTTGAGTCCAATTTCACAAAGTGCTTTGCTGTTTATAATCGGTCACTTATAATTTACAAAGGGTCCATGTATGAGCACTTTCCAATGTGCAGGGTCAATGAAAGAAAGGGACCTTTTGTACCCCCCTGTATTCAAAAATTTAGCGATACAGAGTTTCCACATCTCCAACCCTGATCATTATCCCGACTCACTTCACAGCAAGTGGTGTGTGTTGCCGTGACATGAACTGACTTACAGAGCATGGCGTCGCAGAACCTGTCCAACTCATCTTTATCCTCGCTCTCTGTTGGCTCAACCATGAGGGTGTTGGCTACCGGCCAAGACATGGTGGGAGCGTGGAACCCTGGGACATCAAGAAATACCAATATGACATCAATACGAGAAGAAATGACTGACGGGTGCACGTTAAGAAGTCAGAGGGTACTGTTGATTTCATGATTAGAAAACTACGTCAGGCATGTCACAAATCGGACCTACCGAAGTCCTGCAACCTTTTGGCGATGTCAGCTGCTTCCACTCCGCATGTCTGCTTGAATTCCCGCGTGTCGACAATGAACTCATGAGCGATGAAACCTGTGAGGGTAAAAAGGTTCTCGTGACGCTTTTGAGGGCAGGGTGGTGGGGATTTGGCTGAGAACATAGCTGAAACATTTCAAATCGGTGATTTTTACCGGAAGATCCAAAAACAAAAAGTCAAACAATATTTCTTCAGCCATAATGAAATAACCATGAAGAAACAGCACAAAAAATACATTGACAAGCTTTTGCCAAGATCAAATACTACAAGAACTATGCTTATCCACAGTTTACCAACTGACCGTATTCCAGTGGACACTAGCTGGACTAGTCATATCGACTGTTAAGAAATGAGGTTTGGCTGGCAGCAGTGGTTAGTGGTGTAGCCATGCATACATCACTATAAACAGCAGGGAACCGGGCCTGAAGAGTTTGGTTGCATCATACTCGTATATTCAACAAGAGATGTTCACACTTAATAGATACACGAGGGTCAAGGTTCGTAAATACATGTAGAATCAACCACAAGGGGACCAATGCTCCTGAAAGCTGGGTACGGTATTTAGAGTTCCGATGTATTCACATGCCCAGATTGTACACCCAGCGGCCATCTCCTCGAATTGGGTTTGGTGTACTAATCTTCCTTATATTTTGCAGGATTCTGAAACATCTTCGGTGAAAAGACCAAGAAATTTAAAGAAACTGATGTGATTTCATGTTGTCCAAGAAGGAAGGATATGCTTTTGAGACTCTGTATTGCTAAAACCTTGGCCTTACCCTTGTGCCCCTTGTACAGAATTTTATAGGGGCCCTCCAGCCTCTTCATCATGTAGTTGGCGTTGAGGATGGCAACTTCTGATGCCTTCTGCAGCCCCTGGAGGCCCATCATCTGTGGACAAAGTGTGAGATCTTGATATACGCGTTGGAAAAGAAAAAGCCCCAGTTAGAGTTGGATGGTTCAACTTATGACAGGATAAAGACCGAGTGCCATCTGGATCAGGCTCAAGTAACTTGTGGAGATTTCAAACTGAGATTCAAATTGTTATAAAACACACAATATACACTGAATGTAATATGTACAAGTAACTGCCATCATTAAGAATTACTTTATATTTCCGTAGGTTATGTGTAACGGGTCGCACTGTAAGTTAGCTACATTATTACCAACACTGGTTGAGGTAGTAGATTACCGAAGTGTGACGTCACTGTGAACCAGAAAGTGCAGTGCGAACGAATGGAGTATGCGCACTGTTGGTTCACGCGCTGGTTCTCGCGCTCATGTGTTTTACACACTAATTGTGCACATGACGTATTCACTTCGGTACTCTGTTGGAGGGACATAGGACTAATGTGACTTACCTCCAAGCCACAGTCTTTTCCCCCATCCCTTCGATTTTTAAATCTTTACTTGCACAGAGTGAACAGTTTCAGTGCTAGTTACTTTGTCACTGTAGGACTCTCACTTAAGCAATGTGTCTACTGCATGATTTCTGTACAAAAGCAATAACGGGCTGGTCACCATGTCCTTATGCTTTTTAAAGCGGCAGATTTTATTTATTTATTTTCTTGTTTAACCAGGATAGTCCCACCAGGCACTCTTTTCCAAATGGGGCCTGCAGGCACCTGGAGTGATTACAATGATCAGGGTAATTAGATTAGATTAGATGTGAGTGATTGAAAATATGAAAACCCACTAGTTTGGTGATAAAGTCACATTAGAAAACTGCTGTGTAAACTGTACAATGTGAATGGGTCTCATAGAGAAACAGGTAAAATTTCCTGAAAATGTCCCACCAGCATCTCCAGAAATCCTCAGGGCCATTCATGCTTGACATGAGCGAATTTTGCTCGAGATCTTTAATGATTTCAAATTCACTTCGTTTTTGAATTCACCCGAAGTACGAACTGGCCTTCCAGACAGCTGACAAGGTACTCACCTTGAGGTAGGCCCAGGAGATGGGTAGGATGGAGGTGGAGCCCCAGGGGGCGGCACTGATGGCACCCAGGGGCACTGCACCAGGCTGGGTGGTACTGGAAGGGGGCGTGATGGGATTGGTGGGAAAGAACGGCGCAAGATGCTTCTTCCTATTGAAAAGGAAACGGGAAATTACACTGGGGTGCAAACTTTGACACGAGAGGTCAACGCAGAGGGGCAATCTCCGCAATGATAGCCATGGTTGATCTCCATGCACCAAGGAGTATTCCTTCAGCAAACAGACTTTGATGATTTGAACAAGCTTGGTAAAAATGGAATTTTTTCATTAGTTTACTGAATTTTATCGAGTTTACCTAAATAAATAAAGTTGTAATTTTGTAGCATTGCACACAGGCAATACACGGATGGGTAATGCCCACCAAGTTTAAACGGCCACTTTAAAAGATTGAAGCGTACCGTAATTGTTCCAGCTCTCAGCATTAAAAACATACCAATGGTTTGAACTGAAAATTGACGGAAAGACACTGAAACTTTTGTTACATATACATGGAGGTAGTTTTGGTCAAGCTGTGGTATTTTTCGTAGAGCCAAGGTCTTTCATGGGTATCAAGTTTTTCATAGGCCTCAAAAGTTTAACCACTTGACGCGGGTTGACGTGTAAACACACATTATTTTCCTTATTTGTTCCAAGAAGGATGTGTACACTCGTTAAAGAGTTTTTTCATTTCTGCGGTTGATGTATTAACCCATCGTGCTTGGTTAGGTCAAAGCGCAATTGCAAGGTTGAAGAATTTGCGGGTTAAAAAACCCACCCCGAGCAGCTTTTTCGGGTGAGAAAATCCCTCATTCACTGGTTAACCGGGCCCCAGGGCCATGTCTATGGTACCTACTGGATAAATTCAACCCTGGCTACTTACACTCCAATGGGCCCCATGCCGGGGCCACCCCCACCGTGCGGTATGCAGAACGTCTTATGCAGGTTGAGATGCGAGACATCGCCCCCGTAGTCACCTGGCCTGCAGATGCCCACCTGAGCGTTCATGTTGGCCCCGTCCACGTACACCTGGCCCCCGCTCTCGTGGATCAGCTGGCACATGTCCAAGATGCCCTCCTCAAAGATACCATTGGTGGATGGGTAGGTGATCATGGTTGCTGCCAGGTCATCCTTGTGGGTGTTGACCTGTTTGATGAATGGAGATTGTGAAAAATGCAGAAAATGCCACAGTTCAACAAATTGACGAGTTGGAATAGAAGTTGGAATCTTCCCCCCCTTTTATTCTTTTTAAAACTTGATGCGAATATCAAGATCTCCATTATGAATACATCTGTTAAGTTTCAATATAACTGGACAAAGGGTTGGTGTTTGGCTTATCACACATGTCGATCCCAGCGTGAGCACATTCTAACATGCATCCTCAAACCTATGACCGAAAACTGGACCTTTAGCAAGAAGGTGTTGCTTCAGAGTCATGAAACTGACGTCAATAATGACGGCTCCAAGGTGTTTTACAAAATATGTTGTGATGATCTGAGAGGAAATGTACCAAGGGGGGCAACACTGTCACACACCCTCGGTTCAACCTCTTTGGGTTATAAAGGGAATTGCAAATTGAGTATGAAAGCCATACAATAAGCCATTTGCGAGTTAAATTTGAATAAAATCTGGTACACTGAGTTATCTGATTGCACATTAACATAACAGTTTGAATTCCCAGACTAAAGACTTGCTATACCTTGTGATTCGGGGCAAGCTTTTGCTTAGCGACCACCATCTCTGGAATGGACTGGTTCCTTTGTGCCCTTCTTTTCCACTGAGAACAGTGTATTGTTGCAAGGCGTTTCTTATGTATCTAAGGAAAAAGTTGCCCCGAATCACGAGGTATAGCAACAGTGGCTCTAGTATGGAGAATTCCAATTGTCATGTTCACGTGAATTTAAAGAACTCATTGTACCAGATTTTATTCAAATTTAACTCGCAAATGGCATATTGTTCTTATCTCTCATACTGTGCATACAATGCATGTACAGAGGCTTAGTTGATCAAGGTCAAAGCCAGATGGTAATATCAGAAAAACAACTTTCCTATGTCCTTACACTACATGACTTGAACTTGTTGCAGATCTTCGTCCATAGAAACGAACTTGACTTCAAGTCATCATCTCCAGCTAACTTTTTCCAACCCCCCCTCACCTGTTTTTTGAGGTCCTCAAAGTCGATGCTGCCATTGGCCAGAACCTTGATTGGTTTGACCGTCATGCCGGCCAGACTGGCGCTGGCCGGGTTGGTTCCGTGCGCCGACATCGGAATCAGGCAGACCTGAAGGGGGAATACGAAACGATGATCCTTCTTTCCTTGAAACAAACTTGTACCCCATATACCCTGCTTGTGAAGGAGCTGACATGAGCAAGACGCTGATTAGTGAGCATCTTAATAAATTCAAATTCAGCAGTACGCACTCAAAAACTTGAGGTTAATTTGTGAGCAGGTGCGGCCAATATGAAGCAAGGGTAGATCTAGCACATTGCAGAGGCACTGCATAACCAGATTCATTTTCTTTTGATTTTTGCTCCAATGTTCAGTATGAGGAGCACGTTCAGGAACACAAGGTCACAATCCACGCCGGGTAGGTCAGTTGGAGCAGCTACGATAGAATGGTCAAACTCGACTGCCAGCAAATTGGAAACTCCTGAGGGTATAAGAAAGGGTCATTAAAAACCCAACGCCCGAGACATTTTGACCAGGCACCTTCCTTGTCCTGGACCAGGACAGAAGCAGCAAAGCTCAATAGGTATAAAGGCCTGGGGCACTTTGTTGCACGGGGCAATCAACAACAGCTGGACATACTGCCCATGTTGAGACAACGGAGGCAAGTGACACGGAACAATGCCACTGTTGGACCCTGTGGTGGCTGGCAATCACAGACTCCGAGGTTGTATGCCTTGGGACACTTGACTTGTTGCACTCTGCAGGCAACCAACTATGCCAAGTGATGCAAGTTTTAAGCGCCTGGACTGATTTCTAGCCAAATTACCCAGGGGGGGATGTGATAAATCCTCTACTTAACCAATAGTACATTTTTCTGTGTTCTTAAAAGATCCCACAACCCATAACTAAAAAGTGGCTGGGCTGTAACCTCCCCCAACAATCCTCCGATGTAGATTTTGTAGGATCCGGGAAGGGTTAACTGTTAAGAGTATGTGATGCTGGCATACCTTACGATGCCCCTCTCCTTTGCTAGCCAGATAAGCCATGATGACCATCAGGCCTGTGTATTCACCTTGGGCACCACTGTACGGGGATAGAGGGGAAAAAAAAGGGAGAAAGAAACCTTGAAGATTGGATTCATGAAGACTGATGGAATGTATCACCGCTGAGGCGGGGTGAGTGTGCTGATTTTCTTTCTCAGGATTAGCTCACAGAAAGTACTGAGTGTGTGGCAAAACCTCACAGTGAAAACTCTAGCCTACAGAGATTGACTGAATCACTGGTTATCAGTAGCCATGTGTATTGCAGCACACAGCGGGGAGCCAGGGACCGTCAGGATTCACTATGATGCTCCAAAAATAAGTTAACCAAGGTACTGTAACTGGGTCCTTCAATGTTAGTACTGCAGTTGTAAATTAGATCATGAGTCATCCATCCCCTGGTGATGCAAATGTCCTGAGATTGATGTTTCTGAAGGGGCAAGTATGTCTGTCGGCAAGACACTTTTGTCCATGCAGGAGGAAGTGAGTAACTGTTGCCACGTCATTTCGGCCCAGAAACGATATTAAAAGAACATAGTTTTAGCATCGATACCGACGAAGGGGGGGGGGGAAATGACCAAGTCACTGAAGCATTGGGGGTTTGGGCGAGACAGTTTTCTTTGTGGAACTGAAAACCAGTGACTGCAGTTGCATTTTCTTTTTTTTTCTGAGGACAAAGACAGTGTCTCGCACCTGTTCGGTTGGAAGCAGATATTATCGTAACCCGTAATCTCACAGAGATCGTGCTCCAGCTCCTCCAAGAGCACCTTGTACCCCTCGGCTTGACTCAGGGGTACAAAAGGATGAAGGTTGCAGAACTTTGGCCACGACACGGGCTAGAGAGAATTAATACGGAAGGATATATAGCGAAGGTACATGTAAATGTCACTGTGACGATCAGGTAAATATCACCATGAGCAAGACCCTTCGGTGACAGTTATTACATTAGATGTTTCTTTTCCGTGTGATGCTGGATTTCATAAGTAATTGAATCCTCTGTGCATGTCCCTTTGAGTTTAAAGTAATGTCTTATGTTATCGTTGCACTGGCCAGCAAAGTGTGCCAAGTAATGAGTAGCAAAGCCGAAAATGTCAAGTCCATGACACCAAAGAGTAAAAAAAACAACTTTGCACTTAACTACAGAAATAATCAGTTTACATACTCGGCAGAATTTCGCTAAGTAAGATATCCAGTAGTCTATCAAGAAAAGCATCTCCCTTGTCGACATGTTTGAGAGGACTTGTGCATTGCGTCTTGTTTTTCTCGGTGAAGACAAAAGTTACAGAGAAATGAAGTTACCATCATCTGAGTTGTGCTGTTGAGCTTCATCGTGCAGGAACCCAGGGGAATCATGGAGTGTGCCAGAGACAGGTCCTTGTTCTCCAGGATCTTCATGAAGCGCACAAGGCTGGTCTCTGAGTGGTAGCTGGAGGCCAGGTACAAGACACACAAACAAAACACCACAGTCATTCACTATCTTTATCTCAGGTACTGTTTTTATAAACAGCAGCACCAACATTAAGGCAGAAGAGTTGACATCTTGGATGTATTTAATATCCTGAAATTGTACTTGTCTGTTCTTCACTATTTTCAATGACTTTGAATCCACTATGAACAAAGTTTTTTTGTAAAAAAAACCCTTTGCACCTTTGCAAAGATGTGAAAAACTGCTTTGCTCTTATGAAAAAGGGTAAAGTCTGATGGGAACTTCTTGGCTGTACTCTGTATGGCAAATCAATCCTACTGGCTAGGCTATTCCTGGACCGGAGGCCCGATGTCACGAATGATGAAAGTCTAGAGTACCCTCTGGGATTTCACTGACTGCCGAGAGTCATTTATAAGGATACTTCCTTCCCCTCCTGGCTAAGTTTCCCAACATGTAGGCAGGCAACGTTGCACCTCCGTGTATGTGAGCCTGGGCTGGTATTCAAGGAGCCGTCAACCAGGCAAATCAACCACAGAGAGCGTCTTAATTCACGACTCATTCTCTGACTAGATATCTGAGACATGTCTAGAAAGGGTTCCTAGTCGGACAATGTGTTCTTTGGGGCCCGCAAGCTTGCACTGTGATGCTCATGTAGAAACCTTTGATACTGTCGAGCTAAACTCCCCTCCCCCCTACAATGATTTTAAAAAGAGATGTCTTACGTGTACTAGGGTCTGTCTCAAGTCTGTTACAGGTCAAGTCACAAGTCCATCCCGTCCCAATGAAGTCAATCCACAACAGGGGATGACCAGAGTAAAGGAGTGCCTTCATTTTAGTTGAATAGATCAGTATCTATCTAATTGAGACTGGATGTCTTGCAATTAACTTGTGATGGATTTTTGAGTATTGAGTAGTTGAACACAATGCTGATTTTAGGATACAAAACCCTGGGTACGAGTCTGAGCGGAATCTCCTTTCATCAAACAAAGAGCAACGACAACGTCATCTGTCAAGATTTCCATACACGTTCACTGAAAAAGTTTTCATTCCTTGGAATGTTGGCAGCACAATTCCTGCCAGGAACTCAGCTTCCAAACCTGCACATGTACTCCCTCTTTACGGGGGACCGAGGGGAGGGGAGCACATTTGTCCCTCCCTCACATTATTGTACTCACGTGTTGAAAATGGGATGTTCGAGGTAGGGAGTTGTTCGAGAGTGCCTGGTCTCCGTTATCGAGCCAGGGGGCTGGTCCCCGGGAAAGGAATCCGCAATATCTGCCTGTAATTGATCGCAACAAATACATGCTGAGTATAACTTTAACCATGAAGGCCACTCTTTACAAAGTGTTTACAAACCCTACAGTTAACCAACCACAGAAAAACAACGTGACTAAGAATTGTCCAAAAACTTAACGATCGTCGGCTCTGGTACATGAAATGTTTAACACATTCCTCGCATTTAAAGCAATCAGGTTAAAACTCTGTCCGAACAAAGTGAAAATGGTCGGGGCAGAGAACCAAGAAACATAGAGAGAGAGAGATACAGACGGAGTAACCAGTCAGACCTAGATGGGCAGACACCATTCGCTCCCCTCCTCCCCCAAAGAAACAAAATAACTGACAGGTTTGTGCGTGGTTCATGTCGGGGAGAATCTATCAGTGGCTAGAACTTACAGCAGTTGCCTCACATCCAAAGATTTCCAATAAGTCGTTGAGGTCTTTCTCTTCCACTGTCTCGTCCATCGATACTCCAACCTAAACGAGGTTTAAGACACGGGTGTGGACGATCATGCACTTTCAGCACTAAATCTCCAAGGAACACTATTTTGTTTGGACATATGGGGTGATAAAATAAACATGGTCCTCACCTTCCAACTTTTCAGTCATTTCTTTGTTTTTCTAAGTAAATAATTCCCAACGATATGTTCCAGTCAAACAAGGCTTAAGCACGTAACAGAATGGCAACATTTTTGCAACTGAACTGAAATTATGAAAGATTTCCACTGAATCTTTTGAAGAATTTTCACAATATTCATTTTGTTCTAAAGGACAAAATCCAGAAAAAAAACTCCTTTGTTAATATTTGGAGTCCTCTATTTTTCAGGGGATTGTGCCTGTCTACTGGTTGATTTCCTTACCGCTCCGTCTTCATACAGCCTAAAATTGATCTTCTTATCGGCTGCCCTCTGAACCATGTCATTCTTGTCTCCTGCACATCGGATCTTGAGCGTGTCAAAGAAGAACTCCCCTGTTTCGATGGTGTGGTCTGTTCTTTTTATCCCTGCAAGGCAGATGACGGCACAGGTTATCCTACAAACTAAACTTACTACTTTTTAAAAACATTACTTTTTAACCGGACCAATTTAGGATCCTCCACAACTGACGTGGAGGAAAAAATGAAAATAGAGCTACCCACGTTTGTATTTTCCATCGTCTCTCTTTTGGTACAAATGAACTAGTTTGTAAGCTACAAGATTTTCTTCAAATATGTCCATGCCATCTTTTCTTGAGATATTTTTCCAAGCAAAACTTTCTGCACAATTTACATTACCTTCGGCCAGTATGTGAGTGGCGTTGTGGACACGGGTTGCTATGTGCCTTAATTCTTTTGGGCCATGATAAATGGCGTACATCGCCGACATGTTTGCAAGCAAAGCCTGCAAAACAGGGGGAAGAATTAAAGTTGCTTAGAAATGTAAGATAAATGCATAAAATAGTACTTTGGGTATTCTGCTATGTTCAGGTACAATTGAATTACACATTCGGAGTTGCCAATTTCTGATCATGGCAATTTTGTTTTTAAAAAAGTGAGCATGATTGCTAAACACAAATAGAACATTTCAGGAGTTATAAAACCACCCTTGTGAAATTGAAAAGTAAACTAGTAGATGTTTTTATTATTCTATAGAGACCATCTACATTTTCAGAAAAAGAATGAGTTCCGATAGAAACAAGCATTCCATTTTTCTGTATATTTGGCACAGGCCTGATGTGGACAGAGTTTAAACTTAACTCGGGTGAGACTTCCGGGCTTGACCACATCAGTTTGACAATGAAAAATTAACCTGTTTCCTTGGATAACTTTACTTTTGCCACTTCATGACATGATGATACTTCTTGTAGAAGTTGTTAGGTATTTCAACAGACCGTCAAAGTTTGGACAAAGGTTTTCAGGCGCATTGAAGAAAAGTCACCTGTGCCGTGCATATGTTACTGGTTGCCTTGTCCCTGCGGATATGTTGCTCACGGGTCTGCAGCGCTAGCCTGTATGCTGGTTTGTTTTGCACGTCCCTGAAAATTAAATTAAAGGGAAAATGCCGGATCTGAGGTGGTCAGCAACTCAACATGGGCAAGCTGGCGTGGGCAGCACTGGGACGTGAGGACGGGAACCAACAAACTTCTTCTCTGCTTCTCTCCTGGAAGCTAGGAGCAAGTCAGATCCACAATTATATGGTTTGAGTGCCAGTCAAATGCTTCTTTACAAGTGTGCTTATAAACTACCATCCCCCTCAGGCAACCCTAGACAAAACTTTCCTGTGAATCCCATCACCTCTCACATTTTGCTGTTGCCGCCTTTCCTGTGTGCATTTTTGTTAAATGCTGACGAGCACCTCTCTTTTCATGAACAAACATTGGAAGGCTTGGAATTTATTGGCTTGGAATTATTACTGCTGTTTTGACACGATCTCCACATGTGTTCAGGCATCAGTGCTCTTTTGAGACCGGCATTGTCATAACAGTGCTGCATTATCCATTAGTCATGTTGGCTTTGCGAGAAAAATGACACATTCATTTGCATACATTTGTTTCAAATGGCTTCACGCCATAATTTGGAATCAGGAGTGTTTGCACTGCAAGTACCTTCTGTTTTCTGCTGGCATTATTCTGATAATTACATGTATTTCCACCATATACCTTCAAGTGACAAATACATAAGGAACAATGCCAGTGCCCAGGTAAACTTCAAAGTCCCTTGGTAGGGCTGAGTCAATTTGAATAGTTCACTTTTCAAATATTTGACCTTCAATTTGATCAAATATGCACATGTTCAGTTGTACCAACCAGCATATTGTTGATGAACCGTATACAAAATCAGTTGCAATAATGCACACAATTGTTCATTATAATCACTATAATAGCTTCTCACGTGTAGGAGTACATGTATCTCCAGCCATGATTTAGCAAGATTTAAAAAAGACGATGAGTACTTTTTGCCCTGCTGAAAATTTCTATTTCCTTTAACCTGTTCAATGAATGTCACTTTTCGTTTGAATCTGCTTGAAACAAGCCTCCATAGTGCAGTTTTTCTCAAAAACAAAAGAAAATTTTCCCTTCCTTTCCATGAATTTTGCGTTGAAATATTCAAATTCGGAAAATAATATTTGAATATTTGATAATCGATTGAATATTCGGTCAGTGGGATATTCGGCACAGCCCTAGCCCTTGGGAATGATAACGAGCATTTGAGAAATTCAGTATGGCTGCACTGACGCGTGTCCGGCATGAGAGAACATATTGAAATTTCTTTCTCTGTCTTTTTTAGAAATTGAAAGCTCCAACCTTGAATACTACCACTTTTTTTTTGGGGGGGGGATTATGGATTCTTTCACGGATGGAAAACTTTGGAATCATTTCAAAAGATAGTCCCCAGTTTGCCCCCCTGAATCAAAACTTGGATGTGGGATTGTGGCTGCATGGACACGGTTGACGCACTTTATGAATTTTTTCCAAATAATAGGCTATTTCTACTGGATCCGCATTCTCTTGAACAAAAAAAACGACCCTAAGGACCAAGACTGTGTACGTAAAACAAATGCAACATTAACAGCCGTGCAGACAAATCAATCTATTAGATACATTCCAAAAATTCAAAATCTTCTCCCAACAGTCGACTGCACGAACTTTTCCCCCCAAAAAGCTGTTACTACTGAACCTTGATTTGCAGAAAAAAAAAAGGAAACTTGAGACCAAGACTTTCAACGACAGCATTGCGGACAAACAAATCATCTGAGATCCATTCCAATTCCCGCCATTCAAAATCTTCCGCCCAGAGCAACATTCCCCTACCCTGGGAAACTCAACGCCCGATGACAGCCACCGATCCACGAGTGATGTCCTTGATAATGGTCGACGATAAGTTTCAATTATCAACAGCTGGACTTTCAACTCAGGACACCGAAATGCACACTTCAATATATTTTCAGAAAATGGTCACTCTCCTGGCTCAATTATACTCTTTTAAACCGTTTCTTGCACTTCGGTATCCCGACACTGGACAATTTTTAAGTGATACATAGATTTGTTTTCCTTGTATTAGTTTTTGCCCTTCTCGTCCTCCCAGCTTCCATTTTTGTAATTCAATAATGAAATTTCCGAAGTTTCTGGGTCCTCCAACAAAAAAAATTGTTCTAGATCTACCTGTGATGTTTTAAGCACTAACCTTGTGACTCCAACCAGCCTACCAGGAATCTGTCGCTTCAGCTTGTCCCGGACAGCAAAGAAAGCGGCGTGGGGTCCACCGTAGCCCAGGGGGACCCCAAAACGCTGGGAGTTGCCTACCGCAATGTCCACTCCGATCTCCCCGGGGGACTTGATGAGGGTGAGGGCTAGGAGATCGGTGGCACAGGCTGCCAATGCCTGTGGTCAGAAGGGGTGCGAGAAATTAACCAGGAGACGGGGAAACTATGGAAACATACACTTCTAATGATAGTCTGGAAAAATACATGTAGATGTCCAGGATTTACAAAAATAAGAGGAATCTAAATTTCAACAAGGTAAAAAAAATATATAACTGGAAATAACGGGCAAAAAATTAATGAAAATACCTTGGCATAAGAAAATGTTTAGGGGCTGCGTTATTGTCTTAGTGAGAGCATACCTTAAACCTATAGCACTACACACAACTTAAACCAAAGAGAGGAATTATATTTGCTAGAACTGAATCAAATGCCACCAATGAAAATGCAATGATTTTAAGATGTTTTGAGAGTGAGAGGCAATATGGCACAGTGATGCTTACTTTGTTAAAGCACGACAGTGTAAATTAAACAAAAAATATTCTCTATGATAAAAAAATGCCATAAAATACTGATTTATTATCAGTACACATGCAGTCATTTTATGCACACGAAATGGTTTTCAATGTCTGCATTAATTTCCCAAACTGCTCAACTACTGTAATAATAAAAGGCCAAGAGGAAATGTAGGTTTAGGCAAGTGGACAAATGATGGAGTTTTCAATTAAAAATTAATCTTTTAATGTAATTTTCATCTTCCCCATTTAAAAAACTCTTTCTGTATACATGGTTGTAGAGTACGTAAGGCAACTGACAAAAAAAGGAGGAAAGAGTTACCCCGTGGCTGTGAGCTGCCTCAACTAGGTCATGGTGGTCATCAATGTTACCATCCGTGTCGGGATACTGGAACAAAATCCCAGCGATATCGCCGCCGGTGAAATCTGCTTCACCCCTGTCAACAACCTGAACCTCGATACCCAGTGGTCTGCAGCATAAAAAGGAAACATTGGCCATCAGGACCCCCGCGTTAGTGCTCAATACAACTACAACTTCCAGAGTTTTTTTTGCCATATGAACCTTTCTGGATCCTTCAAAAGCTACCAATTTGCAGGAACCTGATGGAACGTTCATTCTTCCTGGTTTTCAGGCAACAATGATTGTGTCCTTCGTACTGAAAATTCCTAAAAAGATTACAGGTGGATTTTTAAGGAGTGTTATGAATAGGAGGGTTGGTTAGTACCGCCACCGGGATGAGATGGACCAGCTTTTACTGACAACAATTTTAAAAGGAACAAAGTATATGGTACATTTATATAACAGGTTTTGCCCTTACCCAACGAATATTAAAATCAATATAAAATTAATATACCTTGGTTAAGGGCAAAACCCGTTATATAAATTAACATCTCCCCAACGCAAAAATACATCTTGAAAAAATATGGTACATGCACAATTCTCTCAGCTCTCTAGGTGAGATTTTGAATGATTATGTCGGTGTTAAATTTACCCTGGCTTCCAGGGATGCAAGGAGGGTTGATAAAAAGCAGAGTGAGTTGTGGGCCTCATCAGACATGGACAGGTTTCCCCTGGGGTACTGATATGTGTGAGATGGTCAAACAAAGTTGGCCAAAATTCGAGTGCCAAAAAACAAAGGGGAGTGTTTTCAAAAGAGCCTAAAATAAATTCTATATATCTTG